GCTGAACAACCCCAGCTCCCTCAGCCTCTCCTCATAGGACTTGTGCTCGAGTCCCTTCACCAGCCTTGTTGCTCTCCTCTGGACCTGCTCCAGGACCTCAATATCCTTCCTGAACTGATGGGCCCAGAACTGGACACAGCACTCCAGGTGTGGCCTCACCAGCGCTGAGTACAAGGGAAGAATCACTGCCCTGGTCCTGCTGGCCACACTGTTCCTGATCCAGGCCAGGATGCCATTGGCCTTCTTGGCCACCTGGGCACACTGCTGGCTCATGTTCAGCTTCCTGTCAATCCAAACTCTCAGGTCCCTAATGTTTGCATTAGAAATCATATCAATTATTTGTCAGCAATTCATATCAAATGTCACTGATAACAGCCAGCTTCACATCAGGCAATTCCAATCTCCCAGTTCAGATTGGCCCTGCTATCAAACTGATTAGGAAAAATAAAATAAAAATAACAAAATGAGAAGGTCAGTCTTAACTTTTGGCTGTTCCAGGAGATTTAAGCAGTATAAATAAGGTCACCTAAGGTATTTCAGTAAGCATTTCAGAGCTCTTTCTTCTGTCTGTAATCAATCTTTCTTTTGCCTTTTGCTGTCTCTCCTTCTAAGCCCTTCACAGATATGAGTAAGAAGGCTTTACATTCAGCCTGACTGCCTTCCCTTTTCAGTGCCCCTCAATGCCTATCCAAGGTGGCTGTAAACCAGCCCTAAGTGGAAACATGGAGTTTATACAAAAAAAGGTTGTACACGGGAATCTGCATAGTCGCGACAGCAAGCAAAGAGAGCCAGTGCTGAGTGACTTACCTGGCGACACCACAGCTTTCGAAATATCTGCAAATAGGCCAACACCATAAGACACAATGGTGCCATGTATGTCACCAGAAAAAAGCACGTGTGATACATTTTGGGGTAAACCTCAGCTGGAAAGAGAATTCAAATAGGAAAGGTGCATTTAAATATACATACATTTCAAAATCCCCGTAAGACAAATTATTTATATAGATATGCATGTATTTTTCAACATAATAGGATATAATGGAAGATGTATCCAATAATATTATGGTCAAGATCACTTTTTTAATCACTTCTAGATACATTCTATTAGAAATTTATCTTATTATCTCAAGGATCTCCTGTATCACATTATTGATTTCTTACCACGTTATTACTTTAGGTATGAAGTTTTCAAAAGTTTTGCTTTTTATTAAAACAGTGAAAGATAAAAAATTTGGTTATCTAAAAATAGCTAACTAAATATCCAACCTGCTTCACCGTTGACATATTTAACAGGTTGTATAATTGTCTATAGTTTCAATTCTGCAAAGGCTACTATATATCCCTGAATAAGCTGCACAGTCTCTCACCTATAAAGACTGAATACAGACTGCAGCACACACGGGAGTGATGGGAGAAGAGTTAAATCTCTTTTTGGTGGCAGAATGTATATGATTAAGACTCAGTGATTAATTATTATGATTACATTTAAAAAATAGAATTAATACATTCAAGTGCTTTAAACCTAGGAAATCTCCAGGGTTGTTTTGACTCAGCTTTAACAATAATGAATTTGCTACCATTGTGTTTTAATTTCCAATGTATTTCTTTTAAAAAGACAACTTATGAATGTTATTTGCTTAGAGACAAACATCTTAAAACTGTTGTGAATATATTGAGTTTTTAGAATGCTGGATCTTAAGCTTGATCATTAGCTTATAGCAGAATGTGCAGAATGTGAAAACTTGCTTTCTCTTTTGTAATGTCAAATGTCGTTTGCTATTACCAAATGTTAATATTAATTACTATTACCAAATGTTAACATGAATTACAACTTAATATATATGGATGGCCTCAGAAAAGAAATGAACATTATGGAGAGTGACAATACATAGAAGAAGAGAAACTGGGCACCCCATAAGCAGTTAAATTGTATGGTAATCCTAAGCATTGCATCTTGACTAGAGTAAAGAAGGAACGTTTATGTTAATTTCCAGATTTTCTGCATGTTTCAGGGTGATAAGATCTGCAACTGAAACTCCATATGAATTGCAGTTTTAATTTAAAAAAAAAGAAAAAAAAAAGAAAAAAAGAGTTGCTTGAGATTAAAACTTTGAGACAAACTTATTTTCTGCCCTTAAAGTGATTGAGACTGTGGACCCTATCAAAGAAGTGATGCCAGGAGAATCTCTGAGAGTTTGATCAGACAAGGATATACCAAGACTTGGTTCATAACTCTCATAGCAGGGAAGAGAACATCATCATGTTAACTCCAGGTTCACTCTCAAATGCACACTCAAGTCATCTCACATTCATCATTGGACCTGAAAGTGCCAGTTGGTTCACCGGACAGAAAAACTTCAGTATCAGGGAGATGGAAATTTGCTATAGCAATATCAAGCCCATGTTCATTCCTAGCAAAGGTGATAGAGATGTTGCCACTGACATTTGATAGTTTTGATGGATAAGGGTTCAAAAAATTCAGATAATCAGTATTTGACTCCTTACTTGCTCCAAGATCTTGTAGCAAACCAGCTTACCAACTCTTAACCAACAGTTGCAGCTAATAGCTCTTATCAATGTCCCTGGGGGAGCCAGACCATTTGGGACAGGTTTTTTATAATTGGTGATAACCTGAGATTATTTATTGATCGATGATCTCAAACTTGGTTTTGCATTCCAGAAAATGCAGCCTCACAGCAGTCCTGGTAGACATGAAAATACTGACATGCATGCTACACAAGTGGAGGGACTAAGGAGAAACTGGAGTAATGTGACTTACTGGGATCATGGGAGGTCAGAATTGGAAATACATTCTTTCTGCTCAGAAGGAGGTGCCACCTGCCTCATCAATGCTCTGCAGGCAGCCAGGCCCCTTAGGTAGAAGGATGGTACGTATTTAAAAGGCCATCTGGAGTTTACGACTTCTAATTTAGCAACCCAAGTAAAGTGAAACATTAAATGAGCCTAGCTATCTACAAAGAACTGAGGACCAGGTTGGAGGAAGATCCTAACACTTGCCTTTGAAGTTTAGCCACCTGGAAAGTGCCAGCTGCTAAACATCAAAGGAAACCTGTCCCTCCTCCATCCAGGGCAAAGCCCTTTACAGAACTTTTCCCTAAGAAGCATGACTCTGTTTAGCTTCTCAAGCCAAAGAAAAGCTTTAAAGCTGTTTGACAATCACAGCAACAAGAAGGAGGAAGGGCTGGCTTTGGATACCATTCATTTATCAAAGGCTCCTTGAATGAGAACATCAATCTCTGGATATCAGTCTATGGTCCTGGTGATATATCAGCTGCCTGACTGGGACTACTGAACCTCTTACTGCTAAGCAGAAGAGGAGAAAAGTGTCTTTGCCTTCCATGGTCACTTAATAGGTTTCAGGACGGGGGGAGATTGTTCTTAGCTGGAGTAACTATCTCTTTAAGAATAAAATAACAATTCTCATGTCTCTGGCTGTTATTTACTGAAAAGAGAGAAGGGAGCATAAAGCAAACAGGTGGTCATGGGAGTTGGACAGGGTTGAGGTCAGCATTCCTAGTCAGCTTCATTCATACAGTATGATTACTCCACCTGATAAAGAATCAATATGTTAAAACAAGCTTTCTTCTGTCTGCCCCAGGGGTTATCAAACAAATTTTAAACTTTTCTAAAGCTTCCCTTTGGCACTGACTACCAGTCCCAAATTGTCATTCAATGAAGCAAGGAGCTAGATTGAAACTACAGCTTCTGGATTTTTTTCAGAATTTTACTGTACTTGTGTGTATATATATATGTATGTATGTATATATGAACAAACTGAGAAAAAAACAGACTTTTTTCTGTTTTGCTTGTCTAGCAAATGAAAGGTTTTGCTTGTCTAGCAAATGAAATATGCCCTTAAGCCATAGGTGCATGATGAAATTGGTACCCTTGACAGCTTCTTTAGGAATTAGAAAAAACAAGACTATCAAGTTTGTTGAGCATCAGTACAGTTCCCAGGTTCCCTACTCTCAGGAAGATACCTATGAGGTTTTGGAGTTACCCATGGAGAAGCAATGCAGCTAAAAGAGTATACTTTTAGAATAAAGCTTAATAAGTAGGGATGTTAGGTGCCCGTAGTAGAGAAAATTTGACCACACAATGCAGTCCTTTCCAAATTATGTTCCTATGTCAGAGTACTTATGGTTGGCTAATACTAAAATTACATTTTGGAATCTAATATATTTATGCTTGAGTTATCAATTCACAATAACATCAAGCATAATCTTAGTATTAGAAATAATCTGACTTCTGTCTGCATTAAAATATTCCACAACTTTTTCATTAAATTCTGAACACTTCAACAAACAGGATGTATAAAGCTTCCTGTATTAATGCAATTTCAAGCTATTTGTCTTCCGGTATTAAGACAATGTGTTTTTTACTATTGTATGAGTAGTCTAAGAGGAAATGGAACACAAAGTCTTCCCTTTGTTTTCATTCAACTCAGTTTTGGGAAAGGATTATCTCCATATTCTTTTTATCATTTGCAAAGGGCTTGGCTAATGCACTTCGGCTAACACTGTTTTCTTGAACAGCTCTTAAGAGAATGTATTTAGCTGACTTTAACACATGGTGAGCTCATTTTAATATACATTTCTTTTATTTTGGCACTTTATCATCAAATTCAGAACATAGCAATTACAGACTATTATAGAAATGTGGCCAACCCTGGCTCCTTAAGTGCGCCTGCATAGGTCACATGTTGGATCCTTCTGCATTCCCAAATAAAATATTGTTATTAGACAGTACTCAAAATGAAAAACCCTCAGCCTAGAATTGGCAATGAATTTTACATTCAGGAATGCCAGAAGCAATTAAAAAGAAATTGAGCCCTGTTTTAGACTGAACTATTGCACCATTTGCAGTCACTGGCAGCTCTCCAACAGCATGCTTGAAATCTTATTAGTTAGGGAGGCGACTATTTCTTCACCGTTAAGGAGCCCAAGTGTCACAGTGCTGATCAGACCTTCCTTCCAGACACTCATCAGACTTCTGTGGTCTTCAGCAGCTGATCATAAGTCTGGGTAGGGTACAGTGCTGTATCCTGATTTAGCATCTCTGACATTTTCCTGGACATGGCTTTGCTTTAGTCCTCCATAGCACCTCATGTTTCCGTGGCCTTGAGTTCCCAGAATTACAATATACTTCCAAAACACTTTGGAATGTGTCATTAGGCACCCCCTTTTTGTTGTCCCAAACTTGAAAAATCACAGTTTAACATCCTTGGGACATACTGTATACATGATGCTATGCAAATATTTTATCAGATGTAGCCTAATTTTAAACAGCATAAATTATATGCAATTCTAAACAAAACAGTAAACACACAAATACAATCCCTTTCTTCTAAATTGACTCTCCTATAGGATTTTCTCAGGGTCTCTTGGTTAGTTGAGGTACCTATAAGTCCACTTTCTCTTTACAAATAGAGGTTATTTGTAGCAACATGAATTTCTTTCTCCTTCAACCTCCTCCTTCTTAGCTTTCTTTGACCCTCAATATTCCCACAGTCAAAAAAAAGGCAAATCAAAATCCAACAAAAACACAACTATTTTCTTTGAAAACATTAGCTCTTTATTTTTTCTTCTGGTTTTAAGGAAGTTTTTCAGTCTTTTCAAACTGCTGCCCTATTACCATATTCTTTTATTATTCTGTTTGGGGGCCTTTGTGATTTCAAACCTTGTTTTTCAGTAGAAAATCTGCATATTCTATGCTTTGGATGAACTCAGAGTCCTTAGACATTTTCAGTAGAATGGAAAGCATCTTTATAATTACACTCTCTTCTCTGTAGTCTGAAAGGGATGTGTATATATATGTTATATTTTATTCTCATTGATAAAATATGGTTAACACTGTATTTACTAAGTAACTCCATGATTTGAGCAATCTACTTGTAACTTAATGCATATAAAGATTCTTTTTTCAAGTTACTGTGAAAAGCTATTTTTAGAATGTGGAGAGGATTATTTTTAATGGATATCTGAAATACGCCAGCAGAATAACTAGCAATAGTAGTGCATTGTCATTAGAAGAATAATTCATTAAAAAGACAGCAGAATAAAAATAGGATTATTATCTTTTAGTGGGGCGAAAAGCTTCCCATTTCAGAAAACTTCAATGCATTTTTAATGTAAGTTTTTTTTATGCTCAATAAAAATAAAAATAAAATAATGGAGTGTTTGCACTTCATTTCTGAAGCCGCGCACAAAAGTATTTGCCTTTGTCATGCCCCTTTCTGTATCTTCAAATATCCAAGTGAAGGAATAACCTGCTTTGGACAAATACACTCCATAGAAGCAGAGTCTTGCAAACACATGACATATTTTTTTTGTTTTCAGGATTTTGGTTTGGTTGTTGTTGTTTGTTTTGTTGGTTTTGGTGGTGGTTGTTTTTATAATTGCTGCTTTAGCTCAGGCGTATCTGTGGGCTGCAACTACTTCATCAAGCACTAAACTAGAGGCACTCTTTGAAACAGTTCTAAGGCTACTACAGACTCTGTAGTTCAAAAGCAACACTTTCCTGTCGGGAATCAAAAAGTGGCCAATACAGATCTGGAAATTTTGAGATCACATTCCCTGATGAAATGCTCTCCTGACTTCCTAATTAGTGAACCACATAATTTCCTAGGTTGATTAAGAGAATCTTTGCTGCAGAACTAACCTTGAAGTGATGAAGGCATGGATAATTAGTTCTGCAGCCAAAACAAGTGGACAGAAATTGTACTTGGAGTGAATGTTGTGAAAGAAAATAGTCACACAAATACTGTGGCATCCAGCAGCAGACAGGAATACAAAATTGTTCGCAGATGAAAAAAAAGAACACCAGAAGTAAAGAGCAGATTTGTCCTCTCTAATCAAACACCAATTACAATACTCACAGCTTAACAGAGGCTTCCTCTAGCCTACAAACTTCCAGCACATCTTTGTCAGCAAAGACTGCCAGTGAGCTAATGGCCATCTCTGCCCCCTTGCCTGCTCCCAGAGGACCAACTGGGATGGAGATGAAGAACAGGGAATGTGATAGCCAGTGTCTTCTCATTAATCCTCTGGTGGCCCTGTGAAAGCCGTTAGCAGGGGAGGAACTTCCAAAAGAGCACATGGAAGAGCCCTCAGCAGTTCAAGCTGCTTAAGCTAATTCATCATGATAATTAAGTACAGGTGATCTACTTGTATTTTATTGTGATTGTTCACAGGGCTGGAATCTTCTACAGGGACAGCTCTGGGAGAGAATCTGATTGTGGTTTAGTCTGACTCAAGGCTATTAAGCAGGCACCTTTTAGTTATATGTTTTGGCAAACTTGGCTTTATTTTCCCGCGTGTGAATAATGGTATTACTGATGGTCATTATATCCAGTGTCAGAGTCACAGCATGTAACTCATACACTCTGTTAGCATTGGAGGTGTGCCAGGGCCCACCAGAGTTGAGCCTTAACCCTTTGGGTGGGTGGCTCACACCACTTGCTGCGAACGGAAACAAAGCAGAAGCAGTTACTCCCTGACAACACTTACAGCCTTTTACAGCTGCATTCAGATATAGAACATGGTAGATTCAAAGTTAACCTGGAAGGGCAGAATTACAAATCAGGGCAAGTGAGTCTTGGATAGACTCATTTGTAACTGATTACATTCACCAAGTTAAGTGATCTTGTCCATAAAAAATTTCAAACTGTAAGTTAACTCAGTACCCCCATACCGATGACATTTCTTAATTCTGAAATGACATCCAATTTGCATTGAACTCCTGGGAGATATCTATAAAGACTAGTTAATACCACCAATTAGCAAAAGCAATATATCAGGTAAACAGAAATTCTGTTCTTACGTAGTTATTTCTTAAGGCTAAACACTGAAGTCTTTGTGAACCTGGGATGTCCATCAGTCACAGAATTATATAAGCATAAACATTTAAGGGTGGGAACATTTCTATCCTCTGGGAAGCATTAACATGGTCAAGACATAAGTCAGCCTCATTCATTTAAACTTGATTTCAAATGCACTTTAAATCTCAGCAATACAAAAGAAATTCACAAAAATTTTATGGTATTTTAAAAATGCTAGTTCTAGGAAAGCTTATATAATTAAGAACGTTTTGTGATATGTTTATATGATTTGACTGCATATCAACCTGTCCTGACATTTTTATTACCTAATAGCGGTACAAATTCAGTTTGTACAGTCAGTGACACACTCACCTCCCCAGTGCTCATCACACACTGTGAACAAGGTGGTTTTATTGGCTAATCCTGGGAACACACTGCTGCACTCCATAACAATAGCCTGAGGAATCATTATGATGCAGGACACAATCCAGATAATTATAATGCTGTTCCTTGCTCGCTTGGCTGTGCTTTTAAACATCAAAGGGTGACAAATTGCATACCATCGATCCAAAGCAATGCAGCTGAGTGTTAGTACAGACACAGAGACTGAAACTGTCTAAAGAAAAGAAATATTATGTAAATGTAGGATTTTTTCAGAGCTTTAAAAACTATTTATTGTATTTTTCCCCAGAGTTTTAAAAATTATTTCTATTTTCAACATAGTTCTTTATCTGCAACCATTGAATAGAAATTATTCCCAGAAAAAGACTCCTTTTGAAATCACTACTAACAGAATTACATCAGATATCCTCCTCTACTATAGTTCTACTAGAATCAACAAGACAATTCAAACATTAGAGCACTACCTAAACTGAGTAGGTGTAGCAAAGTCAAATTTTGAAATAGCAAACTTAATCAACTGGGAATTTACAAAACTTTATCTGAAAAACCACTTTTAAAACACTAGACAATGAATTAGTTCATCATATATATTCCATCATTTCACCTTTTATTTTTCACAGGGACAGTGGAATTTTAGGGTCTCATGAAAAAAAACCCAACAACAATCAGCTTAAGGCAGTCTAAGACATTTTACTTCCTGTTCCATATAGGAAACAACCTGTCACTTCAGTTTTATTCTTTCATTCCATGTGCTTGGTGATCATGTCACTCAATCTTCAGATTTTGTTTTACAAGAATGGAGGCTTTGGAAAAAAAAATTTGCGATTTTGGTTGTATCGAGTAGAGGATGTAGCTGCTGGAGAACTGTTGCCCTTGACAATGTGGCTCTTCAGCCATAGAGGTATCTGCTGAAAATGTGGATGGTGCTGGAGGCGTAGGATGATCACATGCATACATTCCAAGTTCTGCTTAATTTTTTTTAATTATAATGACTACAAGGCCAAGCACTTGTCATTCTAGTTTGCCCAGTCCATTCGTCCAACCACCTATTCTTAGAAAAGGTATTTGTCAATCATCTTGATGCAAATGATCTCAAAACTAATTAAGTCCACTGGTAAATGAGTGGTGGCATTCATTGCTGAAGGCAGACAATCCGACCAGCTCCCAGTGAACCTGGGTACTCTGACTATTTCTAAGAATACAAAATCATTAAACACATGAAAAAAAGCTCAGACTGCCTTTAGAAGTTGGATTGTCTGTTCCAACACTTGTGTAGCTGTTTAGATCTACACACAGAGAATATTAATGACTTTATTGCCTTATATGCCTTCTGAATCATTAAAAAAGATTACAAAAAGAGCATCAGACAAAGGTTCCAGAAAGTGTATTGCCCAAGTCTAACAATCAGATAGTCCAAACGTGGTATTTGTTAAGTACAAACGTATTCAAAAGTGGGACAGTCTTTTAGACCTCAGCATGTATTCTGAGATATCTACTTCAATGTCAGAGGTAGACTTTCATTGGATTATCACTATTAGGAAGATACTATTGTTCTTTCTCATTTTCATAACATGGGTAATGTGCACACAAACATATAAGAATAATACCTGTAAGTAGGGAATCACTTTGCAGAGGGTCTGCCCAAAGAACCACGTTTCTGTGATGTCCACAACTAAAGTTGCTGGAAGACAAGTAATTGTGACCAGAATGTCAGCCAGAGAAAGATTCACTATGAAATAGTTGGTAACTGTCCGCATGTGATGGTTCTTCCACACTGCAATGCAAACTGAATTTGGAAAGACAAGTTAGGGAGTATTTTAAGAGGAAAACTGTTTGTGTGTTTTGTTTAACACAGAGTATTTGAATATGTAGTTCAGTGCAAGAACCACGTGTTTTCTTTTAGAGTGTAAATAAGAAGGTAAATGTAGAGAGATTCTTGGTACCCAAAGAGTAGCTTCCACAGACAACAGCAGGGGAAATAATCCAATACAAAAAGCAATTTATTTTTCTGTTGGTTTATCTTTACTAACCATACAACTTTCTTCATGTCTTTTTTAATCTGTTGGCTCTACTCTATGGCAATACAAATCTAGATTTGAAAAAGTTTATCTGTTTTCCTAGGATAGCTTAATTCAGATTACTAGAACACATAATCTTGTAAACTGTACCAAAACAAAAATAGTTTTATAAAATATTTTTCTGGCTTTAATATATCTATTGCATCTACAGAGAATCTGTAACAATTGTCTGTAATCTGGAGTAAGTAAATAAAAGTAATTTTTGCAGTATTAAATATGGTACATTTTTGATGATGATCAAAAGCGGCATATAGCAGACACTTTATAAAATGTGCCTTTAAAGCTTGTTTAGTATGTTTTATGTCTCTCTTTTTCAAATTGAAAGGCTTTTAGAAGTGAGGCATATCAGTCCTTTAACAACATTACACTGAATTCATAAGCTACTAAATTAAAAATGCCAAAATTCAGTCTGAGAAAGTAGCCTAAAAGTAAGGTTTTTTAAAATTTTGGAAGACAAACCCTGAGAGACTCAAAGCCTTTGAATGCTTTAGATTCAGTCACCAAAAGCTCTTTAAAAACTAATGCACAAAATTTTCCAGAAACACCACAATACTTCTTCTAAGAAAACAGTACAACTCACTGTACATCAAAGGGTCTTCCCTGCAAATAATAATTCATCCATCATGCAAATCCAGAAGAAGATTCAAAGTCTCCTTAATCTGTTAGGATATAGCACTATACTTAATTTAGATATATGAAACAGATCACAGAATGTTTAAAAGTTGAGTTAAAAATGTCCTCAAGAGATTGCCCAAATCTAAAATGGAATCAGCTAGAGTTAAACCATTATCTTATTAAACTAGCTAAAACAGCTGGAAAAAAATGCACAGACTTCAAGGCACATAAGCTCTTGAGATCAGATGTTTCTTTAGATCCTAAGAAGGATGACATGCCTGAAAGCTTCTGTCTATCTTCCAGCTGTATCAGTTAATCTAATAAAATATATTAGTTCATTCCACAAATTTTGTCTTGTTTGAATCTTCAGAGCAACATAACTACAGCAAGACTACAACTGAGCCATTGCTGGCAAGTCTACATTTTACATCTATTATATTTGAAGATATCACACATCTCTTAAATGTGTTGCACTGTTTAATTATCTTCCTTATTAAGAAAAAACCCCTCATGTTTAATCTCCTTTTATTTTGCTGCTATTTATAGTGCTTCTTTTTCTACACACAAGCAGAAAGAAGAGTTTTTCCCAGCAGCAATGTTTCATGTATGTAAAGATTGTTGTTACACCTTCAGAGCTCTTTAGCTTTTACTCCCAGTCATTTCTTGAACATCTGCAACCATCGTTGTTGCTGCTCTCTGGACACTCTTCTGACTGAATCACCTCTTTCTGGTGAGAGTACAGTGACCAAAATTGGTAGAATACTCATTCAAGATCTTACCAGAGCTTTACCAGGAGCTGAGACTACACTACTTCTTCATGAGGGCTGTGTTTAGACATTTAAAGGTAATTTAGGACAAAAAGAAAGGGAGAGACTAGGTGGCCTTCAGTTTCTCCAAAACAAGGTGATTTTATCATATACCTTTTTAGGATATAGGTTTCCAAGATTCATCTAAAATCTCTTTCATGACTCAACATATATTCTTCATATCTTGTAGTGTGTTGCAGAAATAGTTCCAGATTCTATAGCTCATATAATTTAATTTTTGCTATATATGTATCACGCTCTCATAAATGCAAATTAAAACCCCTCTACAAAGCTCTTCACTGTTCTGGTACTGGTTTTGGAGGAAATCTCCCACAGTATACATTTCTTCTATTTTTTTCTTCCTGAATACAGAATTTCAGGTTCTCTTATCTGTGGCTTCAGATATCTGAAAGGCAAGGCTTATAAAGCAGAAATTTAAAGGAAACATCATTTTATTTGTATTTTCTTCCCACTTGCATGATTTAAGTTACCCAGCAAGGTAATTATTTCTATAGCATTGTATGATAATCACAACATAACTATTCAGAGCTTTACCATTGTTTGTCACCCAGTTACTACAGCTATAACTTGTAGTCTGACAGTGCAGAGGAAGCATCTAACAGGGAAGTAATACATTGCTGCCCCTCTGGAATGTTGTTTGCAGTAGAAAATACAATGCTGGGGAAAAAATTACAAACACTATTTCACTTTCAATAATTTTAATACTTAACTCTAAAAATTTGAAGATTTAGACTTTTACTTATGGTTGGTTCTTTGTCTTGAGTGCAATTCACATTGAAAGCATGGTCCTGTCTTGTACTTAGGCAAAAGCTGATATTAAATGGCAATGTTTTGCTGTACTTATTATTTCTTTTATCAGTAGGCAAAATTTAAATAAAATATTGTTTAAAAGTCGGAGTTTGGCTACTTTTTTCTCATGCTATGGTTTCAACAGTCCTACATTCTACCTAATTCAAACATGTGCATTGTTTTCAGCCATGGATGTCAGTCCTTAAAGGCTTAAGCAGATATGTATGCTCTCTGACCAGGCTATTCTCACTCCTGTGCTGGCCTATCTGGGGAAAGCACCTGAACATAAACATTATTTCTGGTGAAACAAATCCATTAAGTTGACAAATGTGAAGTCAATCTCACTGGCAGCCAACGGCATCAGAAATCAATTCATAGCATTTTGCGTGTTGGGTTCAAAGCTTTCTATCAGTATGAGCAACTGAAAGCCCGTGATACCCCAGAGAGCTAAGAAATATTATTATTTTCATCTTTAGCACAAAGAAAGTAAAATGCAGAACAGAATTTGTTAAAGGTCATACAGTAAATCAGACACTGATGAAAATAAGAAACTTAGACTCCTGATTCCCAGCTCTTTACTAAACCTTCCAGATCACGTCAGCTTAATATGGATGGAATTTAGATGAACTTCAGTAATTACTATTCCTCAGAGCAATATAAAAGCCTATGCCCCTTTCTACTCAGGGTCCAGCAGTATGCAGGAAAGCCAATTTACAAAAAGTAGCCCTGAATTCCTTTGAATTCTAATCCACAGGGGCAAAAGACCCGAAAGGTGGAAAAACTCAATAGTTTACAAGCATAGAAATGCAAGATAATTTGTTACTTTACATTTCTTTGTTTATACTTGTGTGTTTCCCCTTTTGACCTCTTCTCTTCTTTGCAGCACAAAACAATTTTCCATTCTTTTTATGGCACATAGCACAAGAGCATCTTAATTAGCATGTTTACATACTACCATATTAATTAAATATCCCAGAAACTCATTCCACGAATGTATTTAAAAAATTGTGAAAAAAAGTCCCTGAAGAGGAAGTATTTTCAAACCGAGTCAGCTTTCTGCCCCCCTCGTCGCCCTCTGCTGGTTGCAGTATTTTTTTCAACTGCAAGCATGGGTGATATTTTATTTCAGAGCAAGGTTAAACAGCTAAAAGGATTTGCTATGATTCATTTGAATAGGAAAGAATGATATAAAGATATAAACAGGTCCTAAATGACATAAAGTTGCTTCAATATATTCCCTCCAGATCCCATGTCTTTCTGACTTTATTACAGTACAAGGTTATTCAGTAGTCTTGGACAATAGCTTTATTGATATACCAGTGCTCTAGCAGCTCATCAAGAAAGATTCTCTAGCCTATGTTCAAAAACTGTTGTTTTATAGGCATACAAAATACTTTGACTATGCCACTGAGTACAGGATAGCTTGTTAAGTATCAGAACAAAAAAATTTTATGTACTCTCTTCTCGCGCTCCTTTAATTATGCATTGTCATCTCAGGCAGTTCTGTAGAGAAGTGGAGGCACTCAGCTCACACATAAACCCTCAAGAAACCTGCTAGAGAAAGGAAGCTCTGTGGAGTAGAAATGCCATCTGCCTACTCAGAAGGAAATAGCGAAGAGCTGTAGCTTTTCAATCAGCCTGGAGAAGAGGAGCAAGGATGAGAAAGGCAGCAAAAATTATCAATTCGGAGTATATTTTACCAAAAAGTACTTCAAAATCATAAAATAGGAGATGAGGCCAGCAACAGCCTTCCTAAAAAACCCAGGAGACACTACAGCATTAACAGGATGCCTGTATAGCTGAGGCACAGTGTAGTGGCCCAAATTGAGCTCTTTAGACCTCTGTTAAAAAAAATCTATGAAATAGTAAAAATAATTGAATAAAACTTCAATTTAACATTATATGTAAAGCTTTTATACAGCCTTTGATGTTCCTGGCTATAAATGGGACTGAGAAAGAAAATAGGGAAAGTGGTGTTAACACAGGCACTGGAGAAAAGAGGATTAGAATTTTTTAAAAAAAAAAAAGAAGGCAGGACAGAAATTTTAGAAGTAATTCAGAAACAGACTCTTGCTGTGCATGCTTTTCCTGACTGCCAGTGCTCTAATGGAACCTAATTACCTGCCTACCGTACTTTGTTATTTTCTGCATTTTTGGTTTTATTTTACAAAACCACTCAGAGTTATTCCTGCACGTGCAAACATGCAGGCCAGATTTCACAAGGAACAGCTGTTTTTCTAGCGGCTGTTGGACTCTCCCTTTGTCATCTCACCTCTGGCGCTTTACTTTCGCTAGACTCCAGCAGCTTTAAGCAAAGCCCTTGCTGTTCCTTCCTCTGCCACACAGTGTCGGTGAAGGCTCGGAAACCAGACGGAGTCGCCAGGCTGACAGTGTTTGGAAAAACTTGTGGAGGCATTCCCCAAGCGAGGACAGTTCTGCCAAAACGAAGCTTGTTTCGGGACTCATCCCGCTCCCCC